GCTTATATACAGAGAAATATTACTGTGAAATTGTTTTCCTATCGATCCATAATTGATCATAGCTCCCATACAAGGTCCCTTTCAGAAAAACACTTAAAGGCACATAACTCATTACCAAATAATGATATAAATAAATACTATTTTTGTTCATAAATACTATTTTGTAATGCAAAAAGCACTTAATGCTATTTCAAAAATTTTTCACGATCGGTCTATATTTGGTCATATCTCTCATACTAGGTCCTGCCCCTAAAAGCGCTTTAACCGTATTTAACTACTTGCATAATCAATTTGTGTAGAACAAAATTATATATATGTATGTATTTTTAAAATCCTTAAATCTTTCACACACAGGTGAAAGATTTAAGATGCAAATACGAGATATCGCTAAAGCATATCTTAGGGCGCTATAAAAATTTAAATGAAAGTGGCGTTTCTAATGTTCAATAAATCTTGGAATTGTAGTAGATTTATGCAGTTTAAATCTTGGGATTTTTCTATTTAAGACATGAGAAAACTTATTTCTACAAATATTTTATTAATTAGAAATGTATTAATACAAAAGTTGCTGGTGGAGGGTATTTAAGATTCGGCTCAGCCGAATATAGCACTCTAACTTGTTTTTTCTCTAATTGGCCGATTTTTAAGTTTTATGGTTAGAATTGAATACCAATAATACCACCAAGTTTAAAAATTCCAATCCGCCATCTCGTAGAATGGTCCAGTGCACTCCTGTAGGCAAGTGATTAGTATTCTAATCTAGTAGACCGGAGGTCGTGACTTCGATCAACAGGCCCGACATACAAAATCAAAAATTGTTAATGTAAACAAGTGGTATTGTTTGACCTACATTTCATATAAACTTGATTGTGAAAAGTTCGTTATTAGAACACTACCGGCTACCACGTAGTGATAGGGTCTAATTTTGGTTATAACCCTAATGTACATATATACAACTTAAAAGAGAAAATACATCTTTCCATCGATTTCACGATAAATACGACCATGGAAAAATCGTGCTAAACGTATTCGAACAATTTCGTGCAAAAAACAAACAATTTCATTCTCCTGAAAATCTACAAAATGTCCGTCTGTATGCCGCCAAAAATAATTCAAAATCACCAGTTTACAAATATGCAACTGAGCTGTAATTATTTCATTCCTGATAACATACACCTGCATTATGTAGCAAAGGCGAATTATAGCAGATATTTCCAATAATTGAATTACAAAAATTTTTTTTATACAAAGTCCACAAAAATTAGGGCAGTAGCTCCAAAAATTTTCACATGTTTTGGTGGTGAGTTAAAAATATCTTTTTATACCCTACACCACTTTAGTGGGGAGGGTATATTGGGTTTGTGCTGATGTTTGTAACGGACAATAATATTGTTCCTATACCAGCCTTAAAGTATACCAATCGGCTTAGAATCATTTTCTGAGTCGATTTAGCTATGTCCGTCCGTCTGTCCGTCTGTCTGTCTGTCTGTCTGTCTGTCTGTCTGTCCGTCCATGTAAACATTGTAATCAAACTACAGGTCGCAATTTTTAAGATAATTCAATGAAATTTGGTACATGATCTTATATGGTACCAGAAACGAAGTATATTGAAAATGGTTAACATCGGTGCATTATCTCACTTAGCCCTATTGTCCTAGGGACGAAGTCTATTGAAAATGGTTATGATCGATCCATTTTTTCACCTAGCCCCCATACAACTGAACCCCCGAATAGGGTTTGTAAACTTTGTAATCAAACTACAGGTCGCAATTTTGAAGATAATTGAATGAAATTTGGCACACGATCTTCTATGGTACCAGAAACGAAGTATATTGAAAATGGTTAACAGCGGTGCATTATCTCACTTAGCCCCCATACAACTGAACCTCCGAATAGGGCTTGTAAACCTTGTAATCAAACTACAGCTCGCAATTTTGAAAGTAATACAATGAAATTTGGCACACGATCTTTTATGGCACCGGAGATGAAGCCTGTTGAAAATGGTTAACATCGGTCCATTATTTCACCTAGTCCCCATACAACTGAACCGGACTAATAGGGCTTTTGAGTTTATAATTATCTTTAATATACTCGTATCTCGACAAAAAGCTGCAAAACCAAGTTCTATACTAGCCTTGATGACCCTCATGCATTTTTATACCCTCCACCACCATCAGTGGTGATAGAGGGTATATATAAGTTTGTCGTTCCGTGTGTAACACCAAGAAATATTCATCTAAGACCCAACAAAGTATATATATTCTGGGTCCTTATGAAATTCTGAGTCGATTTAGCTATGTCCGTCTGTCCGTCTGTCTGTCTGTCTGTCTGTGTAAAACACGCTCACGTTAAAAGTAAGCAAAGGAAATCAACCAAATTCACCCAAAATATTTATTGTTATCTTAAGCAGTTTGGTATTGAAAATCAGCAAAATCGGTTCACAACGTAAAAAGCTATGAGTAAAAATTTCAGACTACCTCGAAAAAAATTACGTTTTTTTCATCATTCTTTTGAAGTTTTCTCAGAAACTACCAAAGATATTTCGATGAATTTTGTCACACATTATTTTTTCATGGCAGTGATTAATTATGTTGAAAATCTTTACAATCGATTCAATATTTCCCATAGCCCCATACAAAGGTATATATTCCCGGAAATTAGTTTATCGCTAATAACTCCCTCAAATATATCGGTATCAACACAAAATTTTGCACATGCAAATATAATGTGAACAGAAATCATACTGTCAACGCAGATCTCAGTCGGTCCACAATTGGCCATAGCTCCCATACAAGGTAAACTTCCGAAAATCACCCATATAAAGTCCACTTCCGAAAATCACCTAAACGCATATATTTCATTGAATTATAAAGATATCGGGATAAAATTCGACTCACATATGTAATATATACATACAAATCATTTTACTAATTTTGTTACGGATCGGTCCATTATTGGTCATAGCTCCCATATTAGGCCCACTTCCGAAAATCATTTAAAAGCTCATATTTCATGTCATATAAAGCTATCTTGATGAAATTCGACACAAATATGTTTAGTCTAAATATAAATCAATCTACGAAATTTTTTCCGGATAGGTCCATAATTGTTCATAGCTCCCATATAAAGTCCACTTCCGAAAATCACTTAAACGCATATATTTCATTGAATTATAAAGATATCGGGATAAAATTCGACTCACATATGTTATATATACATACAAATCATTTTACTAATTTTGTTACGGATCGGTCCATTATTGGTCATAGCTCCCATATAACCCCATTTCCGAAAATCACTTAAAAATACATATTTCATTGTCAAATAAAGCTATCGTGATAAAATTCGACATAAATATATTTCGTATAAATATGAATTATTCCACTAAATTTTTTCCGGATAGGCCCATAATTGGTCATAGCTCCCATATAAGGTCCACTTCCGAAAATCGCTTAAACACATATATCTCATTGAATTCTAAAGCTATTGGGATAAAGTTCGACAAAAATACGTTTTGTGTACATTCAAATCATTTCACCAAATTTTTTACGGATCGGTCCATTATTGGTCATAGCTCCCATATAACCCCATTTCCGAAAATCACTTAAAAATACATATTTCATTGTTAAATAAAGTTATCTTGATAAAATTCGACACAAATATGTTTTGTCTTTATATGAATCACTCTACGAAATTTTTTCCGGAGAGGCTCCCATAGAGGGTCCACTTACGAAAATCACTTAAACGCACATATTTCTTTGAATAATAAAGCTATTTGGATAAAGTACGACTTGAATATGTTTTGTGAGCATATAAATCATTCTACCAATTTTTTTTTCCGGATTGTTCCATATATGGTAATAGCTCCTTCAAAAAAATCACTTAAACGCACATATTTCATTAACAAATAAAGATATCTTGATAAAATTCGACACAAATATGTTTTGTGTAAGGTCGTAGCTCCTATACATATAAAGTTCACTTCCGAAAATCACCTTAACGCACATATTTCATTAATTAATAAATCTATTGTAGTAAAATTCGACTTGAATTTTTTTGGCATATAAATCATTATACGAAATTTTTTCCTTAACGGTTGATAATTGGTCACAACTCCCATATAAGGACCATTTCCGAAAATTACTCAAATGCACATTAACAATCAAAGTTATCGGGATAAAATTCGACATAATGTGTATTTTGTACATATAAATCATTCTACGGATTTTTTCTTCCGGATCGGTCCAAAGGTTGTCTTAGCTCCCATATTAATATACATTTTTCTCGACCTAATTAAAATTAGTTTGACACATGCATAAATGTTAGTACCCTCAATAAGGAAACAAAAATTTTGCCAAGTTATCTAAAAATTAGATAGTTAAATGGGTTTCAATAAAAAGTAGCTTGCTGGTGGAGGGTATTTAAGATTCGGCATAGCCGAATATAGCACTCTAACTTGTTTAATTATAGGGTCCCATTTGACCATAGCCTCCTTCAAAATTCGACTTAAATGTCCACAATTTTATTCAACAATAAATGGCCTAAGTATATCTGAGACAATTAGGTACAATTAACTTAAATGCTTTATTATGAAAACTAAATCACATTTTTTATAACAGGTGTAAGGTATTATATGGTCGGCCTCGCCCGACTATAATTTCTTACTTGTTATAATTACTAAAATTTGTTTAACTATAAAAAATTTAAAAAAGCGGTTCATCCACATTTTTATATTTTTTTTATCTATTTAGTTTTTATCTTGTTTTTTGTTGAGATAAATATTTAAACAGAAATCAATAAATCTTAGTGATTGCTGCCGACTCACAGCCACCTGTATTGAGTTAAAATTTAATTAACACCTTTTTTTCCATTGAATGTATCGAACGTGTTTAATTGAGTTGTTAACATAATTTATTTTTGTTTGCACCATTGTATTTTATTGTACACATTATTTAATTTTGATTATTTAAACAATTAATTTAAATAACAATTTCAATTACCGTTTATAATTAAAATAAATAAACACCACTTTTTTACTTTTCCAGCGACCGTAGCGTAATTATTGTTTATATCTCGTTTTTTTTTTTCGACGTTAATTTGACGATTTGTTAAACGATACAACCTGCTACTTGGCCTGCAAACATCTAAACTGTTTTTTCAATTGGAAAATAATAGAAATAAATACCACCAATTCTATTTTTCTTCTCCTTTTTTTTGATAATAATTATTGTTTTAATCTAGAACGTATGAAATATTAAAAAAAAAACACTTCGTAATGTAACATTAACAATTGCAAAACCAATATTTTTTTTTATCAAACAAATCGAATAGCAACAACAAGAACAACAACGAAGAAATACAAACAAAGTTTAATTGTTAATTATTATCAATGGAAATTTCAATGACCCAACTCTATTGGGTGTTTGTTCAATTGTTACATATTTTACTTTATCATTAATTGTTGTTAAATTTCTTATCACAGAAATAATTTTTATTTTTCTGACGAAGAAAAATCTACAAACACTTAAAGATTAACAATGATTTGTCATGTGCTAAATTATGACTGAACTTTAAAATTTTTTTGTTAACAAATTGACATTATCATTATTTTATGTCTCGAATTCATTTGGGTTTTCTTTAGGTAATTTGTTATTTTTTTTAACATTTGTCTGATAAATTTGTGTTTTTTATGTCATGATTATATGGGAAAAGGGAATTTTAATTTTACCAAATAGCATAAAAATTTCATAAGTCATTCGAAGTAATTTCCAAATTGATTTTTAATACTTTTCTTCACCACCAGGTTAAGAGATATAAAATTCATTGAATTTTTCCCAAAAAATAGTTTGTGTCCATTCGAAATTATATTCAGTTATAACCGACTCTTTGTATACTACCTTACATTAGCAAAACATCTAATAGGTATTCGATTTCATGTCAAGTGACCCAGCTTTTGAAACCTATTTTATCCAAATTTGTTCTATTAGTTAAACAATAAATTCTGCTCTTAAAGGAAAAGATCCAAGCTTCTTTTGAGCCAAAAAAGGAAAATAATAATAACTCAAATTGGAAAAAAATAAAAAATTTTAATTTTGCAAAAAAGTTAAAATTTGTATACCCTCCCTCAGTGGCGGGGAGGTCATAGACCCACAAAGTATATAAGTATATTCTGGATCCTTCTAAAATTCTTAAATTCTAATACGATCTAGCCATGTCTGTCTGTATGACTGTTGAAAGCACGATAGAGTCCAAACGGAAAGAGATAGAATACCTTATAGGCAAGGTTTGTTTGGTATTGAAATATCGGTTCACGTTTTCGGTTAGCCCTTAAACAAGTGGACCCTCGAACTAAGTTTTAACAGGCATAACTGTTTTAAAAGTACAAGTAGAGCGATGGAATTCGACATAAGTATGTTTCATATGAGTCAAAATGTCTCTTCCAAATGTTATGAGAATCAGCCCATAATTGACCCTATCCCCCATATAAGGTCCCTTTCAGAAAATGACTTTAACATTCATTATTGGCCTAAAAATACTAGTATAGCAATGAAATTCTACATAAGGAAGTTTCTTACAAGCTTAAATCTCTTTACCAAATTTTTAGAGGATCGGCTCTTAAATGACCCTACCCCTCTTATAAGGTCCCCTTCAGAAAATGACTTTAACGCCCATTACTGGTTAAAAACACGAGTATTGTGATGAAATTTGACACAAGTAAGTTTCTTATGAGCCATCACCTCTCTACTGACTTTTATGAGAATCGGCTCAGAATTGACCCTATTCCCCATATAAAGTCCCATTCAGAAACTGACTTTTACGTTCAATACTGGTTAAAAACACGAGTATAACGATGAAATTCGACAAAAGTAATTTTCTTACAAGCCAAAATCTCTTTAAATTTTTTTTGGGGAATCGGCCAATAAATGACCCTTCCCCCATATAAGGCCCTCTTTAGAAAAAGACTTTAACGCTTATTACTGGCTAAAAAACACGAGTATATCGATTAAATTTGACATAAGTAAGTTGCCTACGAACCAACGCCTCTCTACTAAGAATCGGCCCATAATTGATCCTCACCTTTATATAAGCTCCACTTCAGAAAACGCTCATTACTGGCTTAAAAATGAGACTATGGCGATGAAAATCGACATAAACAAGTTCTGTTTGGAGGAAACTTTTATGAGGATCATTTTATACCCATATGACTTTAACGCTCATTACTGAATTGAAAATGCGAGTAGAGCGATGAAATTCAAAAGAAATAAGTATTATACTAACCGACACCTTTCCATCAAATTTTACGACAATCGATGAATTATTGGCCCTACCGCCCATATATATATGTTAATGGTTTAACAATTTCCTCCGTCTAAACTCTGGACTTAACATCCCGTCATTTTGTAGTAGGTGTTTGACATTTGCATTGTCGGGAATTGTCGGTTAAATACTTAGTAGTTGTCTGTCGTTCCGTGGTTGATGGAACTGATATAACTTGGTGAAGTTTCGGGTTCTCAGCCAAGGTGTATTACTACTGATTAAGTATGTCTTGTTTTTTCGAAGAACTCTTTTGTGTTGTTGAGTCTGTAGTTGATGTCTACGTTTTCCTTCAGTGATAATTATTGGGTTCAGTTATCTAAATTTAGTCGATGTTACAGTATAACAAATACGTCTCTAGGTGCTGTTGCCTAAACAGTGACGAGGAATACACGAGGAATACACTTAAGTGAATCTCTAGAGGATAGGAGTGCTTTGTCACAGCTCGTTTAACTTGAAAGAGGCATAGTTGCTCATTAAGTGTAATAAACAGAACAGAGGAGGAGGTAATCATCCTTCTTGGAGACTTTATTAGTTACGTAGAGGCATTTTGCTATCGATGCGGTTCTAAGGAGCCCCTCTCAATTAACTAAACTGAGTGATTACCTCCTCATCATTCACATTAACTATATTTAATACCAAGCAAATCTTATAACTGTAGAAAATTTTAGCTCTCTTGCTCCTCTCGTTCATACACTTTCGTAGCTAGTATATTCATATATTCTTTTGAGGAACTATGATCTATATCGATGTGTTTTTAATGTTGGGTATAAAATAAATTTGTCTTTTTTGAAATTTCTTAAAAGTAGTAATTTCGGATTATCTTAGATCGGTAACTTTATATAGTAAGTACCTTGAATTTTCTTTATTACTTAAAAACTCCTTTGTACTTTTCTTCTGTACTGCTATTATGTATACATTACATAGATAGTATCGTTATGCATTCATTGCATACTAACTGCTTTTTAGAAATTAGTTTTTAAAATTTTTTTTATATTTTGAAAATTTATAATTTATACTAATTATTTCGTATTCCCGCACAAAACTTTTGAATTTATAATGCACTTTGATCGCTTTTATTAACATATGCTAAAATTATTTTAAATTTTGCAATCAAAAACTTTATCTTGTGTAAATATTGATTTCAATTTTATATAGCAGCACAATAACGTTTCCTATTCGATTATAAAATATAAACTAAAAATCAAATGTTTGTCAACTGAAATTTTGTGTTACCAAAAATATACTTAGATATCTGTATGTAAATAAATAAATGTAAATACAAGCGGCAAGTTATGTTTATTTAAAATGATTAAATAAATCAACAAACGTGTTGTTTAAATCAATATTTCAAATATGAGTATGTTAATAAATAACATAAATATTTTATTGCTTTCGAATGTTATGTTCAATCGAATACATATGACGAATAACTTTTTGCGTGTTTTTATAAAGATACTTTTACAATTAACACCCAATAAGTAAGAAGTAAAAAGTTTAAAAATATTGATTTTCTTTAACTTCTCAAAAGAGTTAAATTCTAATTTATAATATGGTTTTCTTAAGCTTATAGCAAGTTTTTTATTTACACTGACATAAATCTGTAAATCTTTAAGTTTTGTATTATGAGAAAAATGACAACAAAAATGACAACAAACTTAAATAGTCTAGACACTATGTTTGCAGGAAATTCAAAACGGAAGAGTAGCGTTGAAATAAAATTTATGTTCGTGATTACAATTTAATGTTATTATAGATATAGGGAGACGTTGTATTTCTCCTTAGAAGTGTTTAATATTTTATCATAATACAGCCTCAATGATTATGCAATAAATTTAAAAGATGAAAATTAAAAAAAAACTCATTCTTTTTCACGAAAACAAAATCTCCTAACTTGTAGTTAAATTATAAAATAATTACGAGTATCTACTCATATGCAAGGAAAAGTTTATAATATTATGTTTTCGTAACTAATATAACGTTTTTATACCCACCATCATAAAAAATGGGGGTATACTGATTTTGTCATTTCGTTTGCAACACATCAAAATATTGGCCATAGACCCATAAAAGTATATACATATATTCTAACACGATCTAGCCATGTCCGTCCGTCCATCTGTCCGTCCGTCTGTCTGTTGAAATCACAATAGGGATCACAGGGAACAGCTAGACAGTTGAAATTTTGCAATATTCTATATTGCTAAGGTTTGTTTGGTATTGAAAATGTGTGTCGGTCTACTTTTCGGATAGCCTCCATACAAGTGGACCTACAAAAATCAGCTTTAATGAGCTTAACTGCTTTAGAAGTACGAGTATAGCGATGAAATTCGACATAAATAGGTTTCATATGAGCCAGAATCTTTTTACCAAACTTTTTGAGGATCGGTCCATAATTGACCCTACCCCCCATATAATGTCCCCGTCAGAAAATGACTTTAACACTCATTACTGGCCTAAAAGCTCGAGTATAGCGATGAAATTTACTAATTCTTTTAGGATCGAACCATAAATGACCCTACCCCCCATATAAGGTCCCCTTCAGAAAATGGCTTTAATACTCAATACTGGCCTAAAAATTCCCACCCCATATAAGGTCCCCTTTAGAAAATGACTTTAATACTCAATACTGGCCTAAAAATTCGAGTATAGCGATGAAATTCGGTATAAGTTTCTTACGATAAAAACCTCTATACTAATTTTTTTAGGATCGGCCCATAAATGACCCTACCCATATAAGGTCCCCTTCCAAAAATGACTTCAGCGCTCATTACTGGCTCAAAAATATGCAACATATACCAAATTTAGGACCAATACTTTTCGGGATATGCGTGTCCCTTTCTTAAA